AACCAAAATACAAAACTTTGCATCTCTAACTTCTTCACAAATCTTTTTCCTCACTTTGTTCGCAATAATATGCAAAATCTCTTTTTGAATAGTCGGCGAGGTATACTTTGCATTTTTCAGAGCTTTTTCTAAGACAACATCATCAATGCCAACATTCAATCTCCCTATAAGTCTTATTATTTCCAAAAAATTACCTTGATTATTAGAAGCCTAATATAGAAAACTTTATAGTAAAAAATACAAAATAAATATTTTAATATAATTAGATGCCCATGAGCATTAAAAAATACAATTGCGTATTAGATTCATATATAAAAATTTATAAAATAATTGTTAGTATTATCATGAAAAGTTATAATTTTATTTGAAAAATATAATGTCCCCAAAAACATTTTAAAGTATCATTATAATTATTTTATTTACAAAGAAAAAAACTATTTTAAAATTTAAAAAATAAAATAACTCAATAAAATAAATAAAAAGGTGAGAGAATCAAGCGCAAATACACTTGGATTTGGATTTTATAGAGTATGTCAAATATATCTAGCTTTTCTGAAAAGATGAACCTAATAACACATCATCCAGGCATAAGAGATGCCATCTCCACAACATAATTAAGAAATTAAAGTTTGAGTTTTTCTTTACTCTTAAAACCCAAACATCTACTTGTTTCCATCAAAAACATTTTATAAAAAACTTTATAAACTTTCATGATCTAATTTTCAACCCCAGAACACGTGCGTAATTTAATTTTCAAAATAAACTCGGTAACACTAAAATCAATGCTTTGGTGTTTAAAATATAACTTACAGTAAGTTTCTTCTCTTGTATCCTAATTTTAATGGGCTGAAATGTAAAAATAAAAAAATAAATAAATAAAAACTACACAGCCCAAAGTGTAAATAAAAAACACTCCTCCTGAACAGTGAAAAGATCCGGGGAACGAATGGACAATGGGGGGCATGATAGAACGCCATTTTATTTTCTTAATTCAGTTTGGTTTGATTTTAACGGCACAAGTGTCTCCTGCACGAAGCAATTTACTCCGTATATCCAAGTTCATCTATCCTTGAAGATTTGACTTGAATGACAAGTGAGTTCAATCTCCAAGTTATACTATCCCAGCTTTGAGCTAAGAAAAAAAAATGTGAGATTTTTTTTTATATACCAATCCAAACGAGCTAAACTCTAGAATTATGAAACCAAAAGGATCCTGGGATCTGCAAAAAGAATTATGTTGCTCTAGTTCTTTAACAAGCTAAACTAGTTATCTTAAAGAACATGTCTGAATTAGCAATCTAACAAGTTCTCATTTAACGATTTAACATTATCTTCAACCTCGAGTACAGGTAAAGCTCCTGCAAGTGGCTATCCAGTGCTCACCACACAGCTTCACACTAACCATTCTAACCAGGAGCATTATATTAGCATATAATCACTTTATTTGCAGAACCATCTCATACCATGATACCATTACAGACGAGAACCTTAACTCCATGCCAAATTCATTACATTCCTTTTCTCCATGAAAACATCAAGCATGACCAGTAGAAAAACAGAAAGAAAGCAGGAGGAACTAAACCTCAGTGATGCAAAAACATTAGAATAGTGCTGGTGTGGAAATTTAAAGATCCTTGAGGATATCATCAGCACTGGACACAGTGAATTCTCCACCACCTTCAATATTTGCAGCTTTCACCTTGAGGTCATCGACCAAGAGAGCAAACCTCCTGGAACGGGTGCCAAGTCCCTTCTCTTGCAGGTCAAGCTCAAGGCGAAGAGCATGGGTGTATGTTGCAGATCCATCAGCTAGGAATTTGACATGCTTATTCTCAGGGTAAGTTTTTGCCCATGCTTTCATCACAAAGGGGTCGTTCACTGGAAAAGAATAATAATTAAAAAAAAATATTAACAACAAGACTAGATGTTGAGGGTGGGGGTGAAGGCATGGATTGAAAAAGAAAAAAGGAAAACGAAGACATACCGCTGATGCACAAAATTTCAGCAACCCCCTTGGATTTAAGCTCCTCTGCTTTCTCAACAAACCCCGGCACATGCTTCAAGCTACACCACCAAAAAAAGAAATCAAAACCAGACCTAAACCCCAGATCATATATGCTTAAATAGTGAATTACAGATAATAAACCTGCAAGTGGGGGTGAAGGCACCGGGAACACCGAAGAGGATGACCTTTTTACCGGCAGCAAGGGAGTGTACAGACACGTCCTGGAGCTGATCTTGTTCGTCGAAATAAGCGAGCTTTCCATCAGGCAAGACATCACCGACAGCAATCGGAGCCATATCGAATCGACAGTGGTGTTGATTTTGTTGCTGTTACCGAGTGTATTGGATATTATATTTAAGTGAAATTGAGAAAGTTTTGGGATCCGGTGTGAAGCGAGTGGGAGGAAGGAAGGGGGCGGCTGGTCTTGTGATTTTTCAACTATGATAATTATTTTAACATGCCGTCTGTCGAATCAGTTTCATGTTCGCTGCCTTGGAGTACTTGCGCTTTACGAGTAGACCATTGGTCGGCTCTATACTGGGGTTAAATAAAATCTTTTTAATATGAAAATATCTTCAAGTATTGCTATTATTATTTTTAAGTAAAAATAAATAAATTATATAGATGTTAATTTTATACATTTGAGAATTGTTTGAATTATCAGTAAAAATAATATAGATGGTTTGGAAATATCAAAACTAAATATTAAGATAAAAAAATATTGAAAGACTCGTCTCCATTTAGATTTAATTATCAAATTCATGATTAGTGATGATTTTATAAAAAATAACTTAAAAACTAAAACTTATGTAATTATAATGAAATTAGAAAAAACAACTTAAATTGATGCAAGTTATTTTTTCAAATTGATAATACGAGTCATGAGATTAAAATAATTTTATAATATACAAAAACAAATCATGAAATATAATTTATAATTGATTTAGCATGAAATGATAAAATTAAAAAATAACACAAAAAATATTATAATCAACATGTTAAACTTATAGCTTAAATTATAAGATTATGATGACCTTGAAGAAAATAAATAAACAAAATTACTCTGGTCAACATAGATTAGCCTATTAAAGTTGCAACTTTGATTATGAATCATGAATAATTTCATATAAAGTAAATTGAAATAAATCATGAAAAACACTTATCATCCATCCTATATTATCAAAATATAAAATTAAAAAAAATATTATGAAAAAATAACACAATAAAATAACTCGAGTTAATCCACGTTAAAGCGGAAAACTTATGATCGTAGTAATGAGACTAAAACAATTTAATGAAAATTAAACTACAATAAATAATGAAAACTACTTCTCAGTCAATTTAATGTCAAATAGTTAAAATAAAAAAAAATAGTGCTAATTTTTAAAAAAATCAATTAGATTAACCCAACAAACATATCATGAGACTAGAAAAAAGTAAACAGTAACAAATTATAAAATTTGATTTCTAATAAATCAAATGTTAAATGATGAAAAAAATATTATTATAGTAAATAGTATTTATGAGGTGGTGCATTATAAAAATATCATCCTTTTATTTTATTTTATTTTATTTATAGTGGTACCGTATTATTTACATATATTTTAGTAAAATTTATTTGAGAATTGAAATTATGATATTTGCTTTTTATAGAATGAATTGTAAATTACATGAAATGACATTTCGTAAAGAATTTGTTAATGTTAGCTAAATATCAAAGTAAAATGTTAATTTCCATACTGATAAAACAAAATACAAGTATGCATATAATATTTGACCCAAAAACATGGGTAATATTTCAATTTCTTATTTTGTTGTGAAAATAAAAATATATTTTCGTGAGAAATATGATATAAATTTTATAAAAAATAATTTTTTAATCAAAACAATTCTTTCTTGATGATTTTTTAAAAACCATGTGTGTTTGTATAAACATCAAATATTAAATACAAAACAGAGAAAATTAAAATATAAATTAGAAAATATTATATTGATTTTAAATAAAAATATTAAAAAATATATCTTTCTAATCAAAACTTCATTATTTTTATTTGCATTTTTTAATTTTTCTTATAAAATATATTTTTTAAGAACTGTTATAAATCCAAGAAAACCACATAAGATTATCTATAATAATAATAAAAAAATAAATATTTATTCACAATAAATATTTACAGGTTAATTTTAAAAAATAAGCATATTAGGTTTGTGTATTTTTATTAAAAAAAGTAGTTGCTAATGTTATTAAAAAGAGGGGTAGCTTTATTATCCTCAATTTATGCCACAATCTCGTTATTATTTAGATACTGTCCTAGTAATTTTATTTAAAATAAATTATATTATAAAATATTAAAAACTAGGATCATGTAAAAAATAGCGGGTGGAAAAAACTATCTGTAGGCCTCTGAAACCCTATTTTTTAATTAAAAAGCTTGATTATTATTTTTTATTAAAGAGTTAAACTATAAAAATTTTAAAACACGAGTTACGGTATTGATTATAATTTAAATAAAAAAATCAATGAAAATATATATAAAAAAATCAAGTGCCGTGGAACTCGCCCAGCCAACCTAGTTTATTATCATGCTGATTTTTAAAATAAAAATAAATGGTATGTTATTTGCGTAAACCGGATATTTTTTAGATTTATAAAGTGGTTGAAAAATTAAAATTTTTAAGTTTAAAAACCCTATTTTATTTATTTTTCATATAAAAACACTTAAAATTACTATATAAATCTTGATAAATTTATTTATAACTTCAATCCAACCATTTTAAAAATAAAATAAATAGATAAAAATAAATCATAAATCATATCTACCCTTTTCTATCATAATTGAAAAGGAACATCATCTTTATTGAAATGTTGTCATCGAGAATAACTTAATGACTCCAAGATATGTTTTTTTCTGATACATTTGGGCACATTCTCTGTCCTTAATGTCTGTTAACTGTATTCCCATTCACTTCCTTACAGCTAAAGACTAAAACATTTAAAAATAAAGTTTGAGATTAAAATATAAAATCAAAAAACTACAAGGACTAAATAATGCATAAACTGAAATTACGGGGTTCAAGTTGAACTTTTTCTGTGCATTTTCAACATTGGAATCTATGATTGGTTGAATATTTCTCTATAATTTGTATATCTGAGATCATGCGAAGTCAAAAAAAAAGAAAAAAAAGAAGAATATAGAATGGACACATTGAACCATGCTGGTACAGCTTAGAAAGATTAGATCACAAAACAAAACAATGAAATTGAACGATCAAATAAAAGAAATCATTTAAAATAAACAGTGATACTGATAAAGAGTGGATCACACTGTTTATTTTCCCAAATTTTTAATTTATCAGTATAATATAATAATATAATGATTTGGATTTAACCATTTTTCCTGGCACTCATTTTGCCGATTCAAATTATTTTATTTTATTAATATGGATTCTCTTATAATATAAACTTTTAATAATTTTAAAGTATGTAAAGCTTGAATTAATAATTATTATAAAATAAGTTTAAAATTTTACTAGTTAATTTACACCACTAATAATTTACTTACTATATCATTAACCAATACAAATGCAGCATCATAAATTATAGTTTATAAAAAGTAAATCCGTTAACCACTGATTTTATTTCTATTGATAATATTTGTTTTTTTGTACTTGATGACTATTTGATTTTTTTATTTTAAAATTATTATTTTTTATTTTGAATTTTTTTGATATATTGTTGTTAGAAATAAATTTTAAAAATAAAAAATTATTATTTTAATATATTTTTAAATTAAAAAAAATTTAAAAACAAATTTATTTTAACAACTTTTGTTTTTAAGAATCATTCAAATATCTATTATCACCTGAGCCGGGCTAATCCAAAGCCCACAAACCCATCCCCACCACACGCGAAGCATGATAAATCATCCCATCCTCCCCATCTAGGGTTTACTTCTCTTGAAAAAATAAATCCTTAGATCTCTCCCCAACCACCACCTTATCCTCCATCAGAATAACACAATCCCTAACTCCAAACATGATGCAACAACCAGGAATCGCCGGGGCGGGTGTCCCGCAACCAGATCAACAACAACAATACCAACAGCAATGGATGATGCAGCAACAGCAACAATCGCAACCCGTACCTCCTCCTGCTGGATGGACTCCGCCGCCTGTTCCTCCTCCGTCCCAGTATGGTTCAGCCGCCGGAAGTGCTGCTGTTGGAGACGAGATCAAGTCGTTGTGGATTGGGGATTTGCAGCAGTGGATGGATGAGAATTATATCCTCAGCATCTTTTCTAACACTGGAGAGGTAATCTTTTGATTCCAATTTTTTGTTTTGGTTTTTATTTTCGTATAAATAAGAAGCCTTATGCTTTAATCTGTAATTCGTAATATTGTGCCTGTTCCTTGAGAAGTGAACTGAGATGGAAATTTTTTGGTGGAGCTTTTAGGAGAAGGGGAAGTATGCATTTTTTTGTTCAATTTATTCTATTGATTGTGTATTTAATTGTGATTTGAAAACAGATTTAAGGTGAAGAGACTAGGTTTGTTTTGTGGATTAATGATTTTTTTATTTGGAAACAATAATTTATGAAAATAAAATAAAATTGATGGGTTGTGTTATTCTGTATGAACGGGATATTTTGTTGATGGGGAATATTACTGCTGCGTAGTAAAAAGAATTTTGATGAATGGTATGCTTTTGTTGTAACAGGTTGTCCAAGCTAAGGTTATTCGTAATAAGCAAACAGGTTACCCAGAGGGTTATGGTTTTATTGAATTTGTTAGTCATGCTGCAGCAGAGAGGATTTTGCAAACATACAATGGGACACCAATGCCAAACAGTGAGCAGACCTTCCGGCTGAACTGGGCTACCCTCGGTGCCGGTGAGAGGCGCCAAGATGATGGGCCTGATTATACAATTTTCATTGGAGATTTGGCTGCTGATGTCAATGATTACCTCCTACAAGAAACATTTAGAAATGTCTACTCATCCGTGAAAGGTGCAAAAGTTGTTACTGATAGAGTTACTGGACGTTCAAAGGGATATGGATTTGTTAGGTTTGCTGATGAAAATGAACAAATGCGTGCCATGGTTGAGATGAATGGACAGTACTGCTCTACTAGGCCCATGCGGATTGGACCAGCAGCCACAAAGAAACCTTTGACCCAGCAATATCAGAAAGGTATGTTTTTTGCAACTTTGGTTGCTGTGTAGCATGGATACTTCTGTTTGATTTTATTTTTTTCTGCTTACATTTTTACTCTTATCTCTTATGTTGAAAATGCACATCAGATTGGTAAGCTGAATGTTTTGTGTGCCATGTATGTATTTTTCTTATTTGAGGTGATGTTGCCTAAACATGCTCCTAGTTTTTTGTGCTTCCAGTTATGCACTTGAAGATAGGTGGGATTTAAAGAGTCATTTCCTTCCAGTACTTACCTATGTAAACTTGGGCACATTT